GGATAAACTCAAGAAAATCCGTTATCTCCCAAAACATAATTTATCTTTTTCACCATAGCAAGAATCGTAATAAGGAAGAGACATACAGCTTCTCAGGTGGCAATTTTATTCACTAATTTGCAATATTTTTTTTCTGTTTAGAAGTACAGGTTTTGATTTATGGCATTCCAATACTCTAGCAACTTTTTAAGGGCTTTTCCTGACTACTATTTTTTCATACTATTAGTAGTTAGTCTTTCAGAGAGAAATGTTGAAAAGAAATGGGAAGATAAGGAATGGTAGAAGGCTGAAAATTTATTATACTGATAGAATTTATGTTTGCTCTCCTATCGTTACTATTGCCCACATAATGCCTTAAGTGGGCACTGAATCTTGCATTTCATGTACAATTAAGGTCTCAGCAGAACAGGCAAAGTTGCATTTTGCAATTTTACAGCATTCAGTCTCAAATTTCAACATTGCTTTCCATTTTATGGTCAATAAGACATATTACAAGTCTGCCCTCCCAAAACATATGCCAAACTGCTTTTAAAACACATTTATTTTTTAGTAGCAGTACGGGCAGAAGATGTGGAGATAGTAAACTCCTCTCTAATGGTCTCTTTAAGATACTGAGATCTTAACTCTTGCAAGAGAAGAGTTCTGATGAATGACATAGTTATCTTCAACTTCAGAAGAAAGTAGTAAAGATGTATATTTAAAACCTTTCTGCACTGCAGAAGCTTAGGCTTGGCTCACTGTCACATTTCACTTTAAGTAGCTTAGGTAGCAAAGGAAAAAATGAGAAATGCGGCCTGGATAGGTTGTCATTTATTTAGTAGGAATGGATCAGCCAACAGACTAGTCTGAGCTGAAAGCAGCTCCATGGTCAAGACATACTGCTAGTCAGGGCTAATTCTCTATTCCATGCAGAGTATTTGGATGATAACATGCAGGTGCATAAACATTAAGCAAAAAGTGGTAATTATCTGTGAACTGGACTGTAGCAAGAATAAAAGAACTAATGGTTCTCTTAAAATTATTGATATTAAGCAAATATTACCAACATAAACTCTTACAAAATTAAGGATATCTGTGACTTCCAGTTGGGTTGTATGAACTTTTATTATACTTCAACTGATGTTTTTCCTCTTAACACTTTTATCTGTTCCTATGAAAAAGCCCATTTAAATGCTTAATTTAAGGCTAACATGATTTAAAATGTCACAATATCTAATACCTTCTAAATCATAAAATTTAAAGGACCAACAGTACATCAGAATATTACCTCTGCTAAGGTTTGCAAGTTCTTCTCCAGTATATGATCTTAAAAAATAAATTCAGTCTAATGACCCCTGAGGTACATTACTGGTGACCAGCCTCCAGCTGGACTCTGTGCCTCTGACTGTAACCCTTTAAGCCTGGCAATTCAGCCTAATTTCAGTCCATCTCGCTGTCCTCTTATCTAGTCTGTACTTCATCGGTTTGTTTATGAGGATGTTACAGGAGGCTGTTGAAAGCCTTGTCAAAGTTGAGATAAACAACATCCACTGCTCTCCATCTGTCCACTGAGCTAGTCATGTCATTGTGGAAGGCAATCAAGCTGGTAAAGTGTGATTTCCCCTTTGCAAATTAATGCTGACTACACCCAAACAATTTCTTGCCCTTCATATGTTTGAAAATGGTTTCCAAGTTTTTTTTCTCCATCCGTATCTCAAGAAACAAGATGAAGCTGACTGGCCTGTAGCTTCCCAGATCTTTCTTCTTTCAGATAGGAATGACATTTTCTTTCTTCCGAACTTCCCTTCAATAGTCCTGACAACTACTGAGTGTGGCCTCACAATGACATTGGCCAGCTCCCTCAGAATTTGTTGGTGCATGCCATTGGGTCCCACGGACTTGTGTTCAAATTCTTTAAGTGCTCCCTAATCTCATCCTTCTCCACTAAGGCTAAGTCTTCCTTGCTCCAGACTTTCCTACTCATCATGAGGGTCTGAGATTGCTCAATGCCAGTCTTACCAGTAAAAGACCAAGGTGAAGAAGGCATTGAGTACCTCAATCTTTCCTGTGTCCTTTGTCATCTGATCCTTTGCTCCATTCAGCAGAAAGAACAGCACTGTAACAGACACCAGTTCATTCTGAGGGAGTAAAAGCAAATTACTAAGTGGAAAGTGAAGGGTAAAACAGAGGATTCAAAGAGATCTTGAGGCAGGTCTTCTCTGGAACAGAACAGCGCAAGATCCCACAGTTACGAAGTTATAATGCAGAGGTATAAGATTAAGACTATGAACTTCATAATTTATCAGAATTTTGTCTTTTTTTAAAATTACTGTATCTTTAGCAATGCTCATTTACGTAGTTTTCTGAGAGAAATTTTCATAGAAGCAAAAGAAAAGGGCATGCTTATGTGCCTACACCAAGCTATTTCTGTGTGCCCTCTAGCAAACAGAATCTAGAACTCACGAACCAAAAAAGCTGTATAAAAGTCAACATAGCAAGGCAGTATCTGTAACTTCCCACAAACAAAAAGCAAGTATAACCTCTGCCTTCTTATTCCAATCTTGCATTCTCTGAAAGCAGAAAAATATAATTAAGTGAAATTGTAAGAAAGAATTGTAATACACATAAAAGTCCCCTGGCAGTAACCACAAAATTCATCTTCACCTGTGACCCAGAGGCAAACCTCCAAACAGGTCTGCACAAGGGAATACATTAACCTATTGAGTTATCTGTCCTATTAGCATGATTTAACAGAAGTTATTATTTTCTGAGAACCACACTATTTTTCAGGTACTAATTTTGGAGAGTGCTTAGAACTAAACTGTAAAAAATCTTATTTTACAATTGCTGATAGCCATATGACAACTCATTAAAGAAAATCAAACTCATTTTAATATTGTAATTTATTACATACTGCTAGGCAACGAAAGCAAATACTTTCAATAACTGCCTCCTTAAAATGCATCATCAGTAGATATTCCACTTGGACTGAGACATTTGAAGGTTTTTTTGTCTGGTAGTGGCCACTAGATCTGTGCTTCATGGCTTAGATTCTCCCCTCTCATACATAGACATTATAACTCAATTAAAAGTTTAATGATAAATAAGATGCATTTTGACATTCATATTCTCTTCATCAAGTTCCCACAGGCCAGAACAAGGCAAGCCATACCTCAACATCTAGGTATTACTAGAGTCTACAATAAGAACATACAGTGGTGTTGAGGAACATGTTATTGCAGCATTTATTGTGAGCTACAACACTGGCCAGGTAGCTAGCCATTCTCTCTGCAAGTTGTCAACTATACAGACAGGACTCAGATAATGCTCATCAGAGCAGAGTGTAACTGTAAGACAGCTTCAATAAAGCAGACGCTAGACACGGATAGTAAGAAAATAATGAGTTGCAAATACACCTAGTTACTCTAGGGTGTGTTACTTTAGCCTGGGAAGCTAAGATCAGACCCAAACTATGAGCTGATAGCTAGAAATCTGTTTCTACTGGATGCAGAAGGTATAGACTGACCTTTCCACCTTAGCAGCAGAATTATTCAACACATTTGAGCATATCTAGTATAATTTGCTTCTATACAGATAAAACAAGAAAAGCAATGCAATATTCAAAGCATATGCAAGGTGCAAAATATGCCCAAATCAGAGTTATGGAAGATGTCAGGCAACAAGATTATCCAATAATCAGACAGGTCAGAAATCACTCAAGGCAAAAATGACACTAGACAGCCTTTTCGATATGTGGCTAATGAGCCATTCTTCTGGAGTTCTTCCCTGATCAGCATGAGAATGCCCTTTCTCAGTGTTAACTACTCATTCAAAATTCATGCTGAAAGAAACAATGAAGTTCGGGTCAAGGAGCAAAGGGGAGAAATCATACAAGGAAACAGAAGTAATAATTACTACTGGTTGAAGAGTTTCATCAGATTTGAATACCAGAACTGCCTAGGTCAGTCTTAAACAGAACAGGCCATTTTGTCCAACCTTACTCAAGTGATCATAGGGCATCAAACTGACCATGCAAGTAGAATAAGATTTATAATGTGGAACCTTGGTCTCCATTATCTTCTTAAATCGCATTAGAATGAAGGTAACACAAAAAATATTCTAAAAATTCTGAAAAGCTAGCTCTCAATCACATCACTGTAAGCTCAAATAGTAACAACTTAATGTGACTACTAACAGGAGTATTATGACAAAATAATTACTCCACCCTGAGATCACTAGTGGAAAGAAAAAACTGAGAAGACTCACCACACTTCACCCTTGATGCTTAGTTAGAAACTAAAGGACACGGAAGATACTACATGAACAGTGCTAGTCAAAAGATGCTGATCTTGGAACACAAACACAAGGAAAGGAAATACATATGGGTAGGCAACAGGAATTGCTATTGCTATCCAATTCCAAAAGGAATTGCTTGAAAGAGTCCAGCGCAGGGCCACAAAGATGATTGAGGGAGTGGAGCATCTCCCTTATGAGGGGCAGCTGAGGGAGCTGGGTCTCTTTAGCTTGGAGAAGAGGAGCCTGAGGGGTGTCCTCATTCATGTTTATAAATTTTAATAAAGGGCGAGTATCAGGAGAAAGGAGCCAGGCTCTTCTCAGTGATAGCCAATGACAGGACAAGGGGCAATGGGAGCAAGCTGGAGCATAGGAGGTTCAATCTGAGCATAAGGAAAAACATTTTTACTGTGAGGGTGACAGAGCACTGGATCAGGCTGCCCAGAGAGGTTGTGGAGTCTCCTTCTCTGGAGACATTCAAAACCAACCTGGACGCGTTCCTGTGTGACCTCGTCTAGGTGATCCTGCTCTGGCAGGGGGGTTGGACTGGATGATCTTTCGAGGTCCCTTCCAACTCCTAACATTCTGTGATTTTGTGATTCTGTGAATAGCTTGTTCTCCAAAAATACTTTCAGTGGCAAGTTGTCACAATATCTCCATGAATAGCAATTTTTAAAGCCTACAAAAGGGGTATTAGAAGGAAGAGTATAGTGAAAGAATTATTTCACCTTTTTGACAATCTTTCCACACAGTCTTTCGATTCTTTTCATAATGTTTATTCAACCAGGTGAGGATGGCTCGTTCATTTGGAGAATATATATTACTGGATAAAGGTCCTGATTCTATCCTTGGCATGTTCTGCACGCTTTCCAAGTTGAACTGATCAGTGATATTACATGAAGAAACACGTGGAAGAACAAACACCTGAAATTAGAAAAAGAGGTTTTAAGCATGAACTGTAAAAAGAACAATTTCAAGTCGAATGATAAAAAACCACTTCAAACTCAAAAGTTGTTCTAATTTAGAAAAGGTTTAAGAAATTACACATTAGCATAAATGTATAACACAAGAGAAAAGGTTTGCTGAGGTTTTAGGGAATTGCTTTGCTTCCTCAAACAAAATGTAAACTGAAGCTTCCAAATGGTCTTGGAACTCTGAAGAGGTCTCAGTAGACTGGAAGCTGACAATAAATCCTAACTACACTGCATCAGCTCCATCGTGCCATGTATTCACAGATAAATTAGGTTGAGTTTGTTAAGGAGAATTGTTTGGAGAATGTAAAAAAGAAAAAAAAAAGACTAACAACTAATAACTGACAATGTCTATTGGCAATGAATGCTAATTCAGTAAAATGTTATTCTGAAATGTGAATCGGGCCCAGTTTCTTAGACCCTTAAACACTCCTGGCGATGTCTAATTCCCTGATACATATATACATGAAGAAACGGCTATTTCATTTCATCCAATCAGAATGAAAACAGCTTGCATGCCTTTTATGAGCGTTTCCTTTCATATTAGTTTCCAATACCAGATTTTAACAGGTACATTAGAGAAAGCATTGGTTTCTTGAGGCAGTGCTAAAACTTTTTAATTCCTCCATTTGCTGCAGATGGGGAAGAACACTCATATATAGTATGATACAGCTACAGCCATGTGGTTTCACAGCTTTCATATTTACTACTGGATTTCTTTTTTTTTTCCCCAGATGACATGAAGGACTGTCATCCATTGCTTTCAAGTTTTTATGAAGAAAAGCTTTAGTGATATACTAATATACAAAACTTAGTTTACAGAAAATTAGAAAATTAGTGTACAGAAGACTCAATTCATAGCATCCATTTTTAATTACAATTGAAAAAAAATTTGAGTCACCTTGAAATTTCTTTTTAAACCCTGAAGCATTTCACTTCAGCATAATCTAGTTCCATGTACAGATGGCTGAGCTAACTTAATTTAAATATTTGGATTTCTCTCCATGGCGCTTTATTGATTTGCATAGACCTATCTTAACAGAGAAAGAAATCTCATACTTTTATGTGAGCATCCTCAGATACAAATCTGAATAAAACAACAGCAAAGCAAGAAAATATATACTATTTCATGTTTTCTCAAAAAGTAGTGTCCTTGCAGGTTAACTTGTTGCAGGTTAATTAAGTTCCTTCATCAGTATAAACCTATGTTTCATCAAAAGGATCAAAACAGGAAAGATTAATGACAACTACATTTAGAAGAAAATATGAAACCTCATTTATCCATAAAACATTCTTTTACTGTCTTTCAACATGAAAAGTCTTATCCATCCTAGTCCAAGATGCTCACATGTCTACATTCCTACTGAGACACTGCAGAAAGACCAGGACATAAGCATACAGTGGCTTTTTGGAGCACACTATTAAAAAAAATCAGCTATAAGGTTAGGAAACTATATTAATTAGCTATTAAATTCTATTAAAAGCATTCTTATTACTACATGCTCATTAAATTTAAACATAGGTTGTCGTTATTGAAAATCTGGCCCGACTCAAGGGTTAAATTAACACATGGTCAGGATCCATGTGTTTCCATTATTGTCAGGATTTGTAGGATACCAGCAGTATTTTAGCCCCTGCTCAAAAATAGTACTAAAAGTATGTATTTATGATTGATTAATTTTTTATTCTCCACTGGTTCTACCCTTTTTCAGAATAAACTTAATTTTCCATTTTTCTAAGCTGGATTTATGTATAAATTTTTTCCTCTGTAACTTCTGGAGCAACATAAGTTTTCATAACAAGTAAGTGGACCATAATGCATAAGGTATGGGCATGAAAGCAATATGGGATGATATTTTCATTGATAAAGATTATTATTAAGTATTTCTAATAACAGCACTTTATTTCTAAAATAAAATTGGATACAAAAACATCTCTATTCAATAGAATTCTTTTAATATTTTCTGAAATTTGCAGCATGTTACATGTGTAAGGAAGGATTCTGTTTCATCTTATCTTGCTTGAAATCATGCTATTATAATCACAAAAAGGCTCGTCTCTGCCTTCGAAACTGCTATTTAGAAACAAAACATGCTATTAACTTCAGAATATTTCAACACTAGCTCGAATAAATACTTTTATATAAACCAATCTTGCTGTCTTGACAGTTCACATCCTGTTTTTCTTTATTCTGATGCTTTTTTTACAAAATTAACAAATAAAAAAAAACTTGTTCAGCAGCAGTCACAGTCACCCTTGTCAAAAGTGCGTTGGAACAAAAGGGTTTGGAATAGAGAACAGGACTTTGAATGTTAAGCAACTAGTTCCAGTGCAGTCATGTTATCTTAAGAGTTCTGCTTATGCTTTATTATATTGAATTCAATACCATGTTAGCCAAAGCGCACAAGGCTACAACAAAAAAAGTACAGCTGAGACACATAATTCCTAAGACATTAGCAGGAGAGATGAATGAAAGAGGAATGTGATACTATAAAATAAAAAGGTACTATTAAAGGATTAAAAAAAATGAAGGAACAATGAATGAGAAGCTGAAATATGCTTCTCATGCATGAAAAGGAACTAGAATGATGAAGAGCACATCTTCACAATAGGTTTAAACTGATCTAAACCTGAACTTTTTCACATCCACAGTAAACATCTGCTCCATTCTTGTGTTTACACCAATGGTCAAAGTGATGAAAGATCTATTTGGAAGCACCACCCTACTCCAGTAGTTCTAGCAGAGGACAGAAAAATATAGCCAGGAAAATCTGGTTTTCCCCACCATCTAAGACATGTTCTCTTTCAGCAGTAGCTCGCATCTACATTGGTGTAAATTTATGACAACGCTTTGTTCTCAGATATTGGAAAGGCTACCGAGTTTATTTTAAAATATCACACTTAACATGCACACACGGAAGAAGATGGTAAAAAGGATTAAAAAGGATTAAAACTTTTAGAGCATAGTTGAGGCACCAGCAAAGCTGAACTATTGTCACCTCAAAATAAGTATTAAATTATATAAGTTTTTAGAAGATTAAAAAACAATCACAGATTTAAGTAACCACCTACTACACAACTTCAAGTCATTTTCCACTTCTTACCTTATATTTAACTTTACATTTTAAGCCTTTCATGAGAACATAACCAATAAACCCCCAGCTTTCTCACTGCATCTGCTCATCTTCTCCCCAGTCAGAGACATCTTTGGTAAACCATTCCGCTACACCCCAATAAACAAATGCACATCCATGCATACCAAAAAAACCCCAAACCACCCCCCCAAAAAAAAAAAAAACCCACAAAAAAACAAATCCAAAGCCTTTTCCTCTAAGCCAAAAATTCAATGAAGACATTTTTATTCTCCACAACAAATGACCTGATTTTCTGTTCTTATAAGGAACAGGTGAGCATCAAGATATCAGCAGCTTGATTTCATATACTACAGCCTTATCTTTGAAGGAGCATACCCAGCAAGTGCATATGGCTGCTGTTAACAGTCTAGCCACTCTCTGATAATTTTGAGAAAATATGCAGTGAAAATATTTTCCTTATATTAATTAGGTAACATTTTCATATTACTAATCACACTAAATAAATCACAAGATTTATTTGAATGTGGTATACAAATATTCATTGGTTTGATTGGTTTAAACAAAATCTCATCAGATCCCTCTTCTAACAATACAAAAAATTAGGTTAATGATACACTACAGAAATTATCAGCAGTAGGTCCATATTGGAGCCAGCTGGCATTGGCTCTATCGGACAAAGGGGCAGCTTCTGGGATCTTCTAACAGAATCTACTCCTGTAGCCCCCTGTTGCCAAAACTTTGCCATGTAAACCCAGTAGAATCCTGATTGAAACAAGACATTTCAGGTTACCTATTTTTTAGAGTTTCATCTCATCAGGAAAAAAAAAATAATCAAAACCAAGCCAACACACAGGCATACTAATAATTTTGGGAGTTTCCTGCTCTGTGCTAGTCTGTCATGTAGCTATGAATAATTCAGGAAATTGAAAAACTAGCAAAGTTACTTGCTTCCTGGTCACTAAGATTGCATTTTTCCATATCCATGTTCCTTAGGGCCATCACACTCAGCCTCTGTATGCATACTGTTTGTTGTCTGTTCCTTTCTCAGCTATTTTCCTCATTGTTTTCAATTTCAGATTGACTCTACATCTTTGTTACATACGTTCTTTAACATAATTTTTGTCATTCTTTATTATACTTTTTCAGTAAATAACCACATAATCACAGAATAGTTAAGGTTGGAAGGCATCTCTGAAGACTGTCTAGTCTGAACCTCCTGCTCAAAGCACAGCCAGCCAGAGTGAGTTGCCAGGATCATGTTCAGTTGGGTTTTGGATATGTCCAAGGATGGAAACTCCACACCCTTGCTGGGCAACCTGTCCCAGTGAGTGATCACCTTCACAGTAAAAAAGTTTCTTATGTTTACATGGGATTTCCTTCCTATTTAAGTTCATGCCTACTGCCTCTTACCATGTCACTGGGCACTACCAAGAAGAATCTTGCATTGTCTTCTTTAGACCTTCCCATCAGGTATTTACACACATTCTTTATTTGTTATAAAATATTTCTATAATATTTGATTGTACAAAATGCAGAGTGTTCTACCATAGCATTTCCTAATTGAAACATATTAACACACTGTTAAAGTTTCAGAACACAGAAAATGAAAATATGTTCTCAGTTATTTTTTTCTTCTTTGTTAGAGAGAAATAAAATACTTAAAAGTATTTAGGTCTAAAGATCTGCTTGGAAAGCACAAATTTAATATACTGCTTTTTCCAAACAAAGGCTTTTTTGCCATCAGGTTTTCAGAGTTTAAGCAGTAAATGTATCTGTAATTTACCTTGTATGTCTGCAGTAGCACATCTGTCCAAGATCGTTTGCTCATTGTCTCAAATATGCTGTCCTCCAGAATGAATAGATGCTTGTCACTAAATATGTCTGAGTTTTTCACATCTTTTTTCACCTCAGATGTGTGACCCTTCAGATAAAGGAATGGGATTTATTTTCTACATTCATTTCAGCAGTTTGGATAGGAAGTTCACAAGAGGACAATAATGAATCAACAGCATAAATGACTGATAACATCTACTATAGTGAAACAGCAATCAGCATTAGGACCATAATAAGAAGCACAATACAGAATTGACAGGAATTGAAAGCAGCAATCAGGACGGACAGGCAACACAAAGGATATTTTTTTAAAAGGCAAATTCAGTAGAAAACAGTAAAATTAATTTTACTTTGAGAAAACATATCTGTTGGAAATTAATTGCAAGTATTAGAGTATCAGAAGATGAAAACCAGAGGAGGAGGATATAAACTTTGATGTCAGTTTAAATTTCTGTTCTATCTCATGCATGTGCCTAGATTTAAGCAATCCAAAACAGTCACCACAGTAGGAAAAGTCACGGACCACAGAGGACTTCCATTGATCTTCAGAAGACTGACAATAAGCAAGTAGACTTCATTAAAAAATAAAAAAAGAACAAAAAATGAAACAAACATTAAAAAAAACCCAAACCTACCTTCAGTGTAGTTTGCACTTCAATCCATTTCTTATAATCATCAGGTTCAAGCAGAAATTCTGGCAAAACATGAGGAAGATATGCTCCTTGGCTTCTGAAATCATAAAGCAGGTAGGCAAGATAATTCTTTTAAAGAGCAGTCCAAGTTTTTCAACTTGCTCAAGCTATGTGTAAGCTCTTCTGAGTTCTGAGTATACTTTGAACTGATGATCCAGTCCTATTAATTGCTTTAGACAGCTTCCATGTATGAGGTTCACGTTCAATTTCTGTGCCTACAACTAAATGCTAAAAGCACATACAACTCTGGGCAGACTGGCTTCTTTATCAGAATTGCTTCTCCATAAAGGATTTATTATAGCACAAAGCATCAAAACACATAATGTCCATTTCCACATGAAAGTAAAAGAACCAGTGTTACATCACGTAAGTAGAATTAAAAATGTTGATTATGCTTTTATCTGTCTGCAGGTTTGATATTGGAAGTCTTACGGGTGGTAAGCAAAGGTACTTCAAAACTCTGTTAACTGTTAAATTGAGCTGTCTTGTGTTCTCAAGTGACTAATAAATGTAATAATGTTGCTGGAAAAAAATTTTTACTTTATCTAGGAGTGCTCCAAAATATCCCAAGAAAACTCTTTAAGGAAACTTCAATGAATTAATATTTTGAGGGAAGCTCCTGAAAAGACTTTGTTAAGCACACTTGAAGCATAAGATATGTAAAAGGACAGAAATCTGAATGCCTCCTTGCCAGAAGCTGCCAGAATATAAACAAAATAAGGTATATCAAAAGACCTTTCTGTTACAGCATTAATGTAAGTAGATTAATGATGTCCTTTCGTTTCTTCACCTGTATCTTGAAGAAATATTTTCCCTTGTGTTGCTAATTTTCAGTAATGAATAAAAGTTTTTATTTGCATTTTACAACAAACAAGCTTCAGACAAATAAGGTACAGAGACATTCTCTATCTTTCTTTCTTTCTATAGTGCAATGACTCAGTAAACTGGGTAAGCATGCTCCCAGCTTCAAAGCATACACATCACTATCCAAATTTAAAAATTGCTAAGAATTTACCTTGTCTGCCCAGGCCACCTGACACAATCAGGGTGAGGAAAAGAAGTGTTTCCCAGAGCTGACAATGACCAAGAAGGCCCTCTGGTTTACTCAAAGATATTGGGTGACATACTCAGATTTGGAGGATGACTGATGGTAGATATCACTGTCACCCAATGAGAAATGATGTTATTTTGGTTCCTTTGCTATGGCTTCATCTATCAAACAGTGAGTTACAGAAGAGAGATAAACACATTTGAAACTAGACAGAAGAAATATCAGTCCTGAAAGACCAAAGTCTATATTAAATTGAATTAGGGCTGTAAAATCCCATACAGAAGGGTGAAAGGCTCTGAAAGATACGTCAGTTCCACCCTTGAAAAGCAGTTGCACACTTGCATCTCTCTTGATAGGAACTGAGCAGAATAAATCAACCTGCCTATATAAGGATTCATCAAACTCAACAGATAACAAGGGCAACAGGGGTCAAAAGAGGAAGCATGGCTTGAAGTTAGCCTTGACTGCTCTTCAAGGAGTTGTGTATTAGCTTAACACTAGACCTAAGGCAGTGGCAGCAGAAAGTATTTTCCTCAGGTTGGAACCAAGAGTTTTTTGACACGCTGACCTCAGAAAAATAAATAGTAAAATCTCTTGAATCTACTGACATCATATTGCCACGTAATTAGGTCTTACTCTCTGGAAGGATGCAATAGTTCTTCAGAAGAATCAGCAAGGTGTTATTAGTGAGAGTTTTCAATCAATATGATGGCAAGACATTCTTCAGCAGTCAACTGCCTAATGACTCTAGCCCTTAAGATACAATGGGAAAATACAATCGGATATACCCATCGATTCCTTTACTTAGGGTTAGGATGGATGTTGAAGTTGTGAAAACAATAGGAATCTATAAGCATTGTTCTTCACTACTGAAGAAAGGCAAAGATATTGTTCTGCCACTGCTGCAAAATCATGTGTCACTATATTTTGTATGATGCACAGAATGCTATTCTGCGTCTTCATTGGAAAAATGCCACGAATGAAAGCTGCAAATAAAGCTTCAGTGTTGTTGGACCCAGAGGAAACCTTTTCTTTAATTTCCCTGTTAATATTGTAAATAGTTCATCTCAAAGCCCATGTGTTTCTCTGTGTCTACATACTCAGTTGATCTGTTATTGATGTTAAGACTGAGACAGTTTGGGGAGTTCTTCAGTTGCAGGTTTTTGGTTGTTTTTTTTTTATTATTATTATGATAGATAAATTTAACAAGTTGTGCACAGCACATTTTACCATCTTCTATCAGCCTTTTTGATTCAGTGCACTGAGAAAGCTAATAAGGCAATTCATTGTTCCCAGGAAGATGGAATAACTGAAAGTACAATTCTATAATGGAACAGAAAGAGGTGTTTGATATAAAGGCAGATAAACAGCACAATTACTAGTGTCCATAAAGTTTTTTAAAGTTGTAATTTATCACTCTTTGGAATAGTTCTGTTGATAGATACCTTGGAAAAGATACCTGTATTTACAACAGTAAGTAAATGACTGTTCTTAAATGGCCTTATAGCCTCTTGAACACTATGTGAGGCCACTAAGAAGAAGCAGAGATGCTGTGTTTCAGGGCTTCTGATGATCTCTAAGCATCTCATGATATTAGTCTTTCTCTGAAGTTAACTTTCTTCTCTGTTTCACAGCATCAACAGCCAATAAGGATGAATAAGAATTTGTTAACCTTTTCTGATGTGCACCATCTTTGACAATTGTTCCATATTATGTGACAAGAGTATCAATGAAGATAGCTAATAACTAAATATTTTCCGCAGCAGGAGTAGTGTTTCCATTTCTTCAGATATTATTAATATGAAAGACTAATAGATTAAAAAGTTAAACTACAGATTTTTTGCCAAAGACAGTGATTACAGGACAAAGGACATCAGTGGAAGGTAAAATCATTAATGACAAACCTGATCGGATTATCTACTGAGTCTGTCTAAGGAATGAGGTTGAGAGTCATCTTCTTTTGCAACTAAGGAAGCAGAGTTCCTGTGGAATTCCTGTGTTGGATATAACCCTACCAAAGGACACCTCAATAAGCATAAACTGCAGAGGATAACCTCTGTAAAAACTAATTGAAATTTATAGTACATAAATCTTAGATTACAAAAGATACAGTATAAATGAAATCCTAAACTTACTGCGTATTTTTCAGCTGGAATTATCCTTAAACTATGCTAATAAAAAAATTAAAACAAAAGAGATGCATATTTTATCATACATGTACTTACTTAAGGAAAGCAAGCAACGTGGAATGCTGCTGGTGGCACTGTAACATTCGTTCAACTGGATCACGGGGCAATGACTGGCTCTCTGTAATGCCTGGTAACAACAGTCCACTCAGATGGAATAACATGTCGTAAACAGTATCTTTGCCAAGGTTTTGTTTAAAAGTCTTTTCTTTCGAAGCGCTCATCTGGACTTTACATACATCACTAAGAAAGAAAAACCTTCTGATACTGTTCTTTTAAATGTATAAAACAAGCTAACATTATATATATATTATGATGATAAATTCAATAAACCATGAAGTAAAAACAGCTGCAAGAAGGCTGAAAAGTATAGCACTTTTTCCTTTTTACAGAACTTTCAAAATACTGTAAGAATTTCTAACTGCATGAAACATTTAATATGTGCAATATTTCATAAATAAATTTTTATCACTGCTTTCTGCCAAACATCATGTTGATTTCTATCATGTTTATAAATGCCCCGGAAACTGGATTCTTAATTATTTAGTAGCAAGCTAGGTAAGACCAACTAAGTGATGACACTAAGACTGATATATTTCGAGGGTGTTTGCAAGACTGTTGATTATGAAATTTGCTTTCCCATCTGTTTCTTGATCTTCAGAGTATATGGGGGGGAGGGGGAAAAGACATATTACTAGAACACTTATTTATGCCACCAAAGGAGGGACAAGTGCTAGAACTGTGTTCATTCTGGGAGCAGAATCTGCTTCAGTTAAGCAGGTGACATATAGTTTGAACTGCATATTTAACATACATTGCATTATGATATATCACAGCATCATAGTTGCAAACATTTTCAAAAACAAAAAATAACACATGAATGACATTTTCTTATAAACAGCCCATCAATGCTACAATTCTAATATACAACAGTACATTAGACTGTGTTTATCTTCCTCTGACCATGTTCAGAACACTTTAGTATATATGTTAACATTCTATTAGGTAGATATAACTTAGCTCTAAACAGAAATGAATTACCGTCTTAGTGAACGTGGTATTGAAATAGGATTTTGTCCCTTAGACCAACCAAAGAGAGTGAACCAATTCTTAACTGCAGTTACGGTTTTCTGAAAGAAGATGTATTCCTTTTTGTGCTCTCCAGGAAAAAATGATAATTCAAATTTATTTTCTCTCCCATCACTTTGACTGTCAGCTTCACTCTCTTCACTCTTGCTTTCATCACTCTCACTTTCAAAAGTAGAATATGACTCTGAATGATACATAAAAAAATCCAGAAAGATTCCTTATTTCTCTGATTTTGTCTAGTATAAAAACATTTTTAAACACTCGATTGTTTTCAGAAAAACAAAAAAAAAACCTGTCAAACACTGACTTATCAACTTCTTTCAGGAGTAAACAAATTAAGTCACATGTGCACATCTTGGGAATAGAACAACTTGTATTTCTTGGAACCTAATTTCACTTAAAGAAAAAATTATTATCCAATCAGAAAAAAATAGATTCAGGCATGGCTTACAAAACCACAGACAGCAATCTTAAAGAAACAGTCTTACATACAGTACCAGTAGGTATAGCTTTATCAGCTAGTCAACGCTAGTTCCCTACCAAATCAGAGAGCACGGTTCAGTAACCGACTTTAGTTCAAACAGTTTATCAGGTATTGTATAAGTATAACTAAGCCCACATGCTTATCTAGAAGCCTTTGGACTTTTCTCCCCTCTGTTAGCCCTTCTGCCTCCTAAATTCTGTCCTGTTTAAAATTTAAATTAAATACTTTAAAAACTACTAGTTGTTAACAGCATCGATATTATATTTATATTGCATAAAAAACAACTGAGAAATTTTTATCATAGCACAAATAAATCAGATGATACCATCCTTGAAGGTGCATTTTAATACCATTGTTGCAGTTTTAACGTTTCATTAAATGATGAAATTAAAAAAAATAAAAATAAAATAAAACTAACACATTGGACAGTGAATAAAAAATCTTCTTGGCATTTAAGAAGAAAAAACAATACAATATGGAGAAAAGAGAATCCTCCTTTATAAGATCATCATGCAGTTAGATCTGAGTTTGTGCAGTTCTACCAGCTGACAAGATTACTTTCCTCACTTTGTCACTGCTACCTTTGCCAGTGGTTATTGCCTTTTCGGACCTGAAACTGAGTAGATCTTTTAAACTCTTCATATCATTGCATTAAAAATGAATCACGTAAATGAGCTACTATTTAATCTGTTTAACTACCCCTATTTGTCTTGGCAATACCTTAGAGAATGATCACACAAAGATCTCCAAGAGTGGAATTCTAACAGATATGAAACAGCAGCAGTAACTTCTGCTGTTCTGCTACAGGATCACTCTAGGTGATCCTGCTCTGGCAAGGGGTTGGACTAGATGATCTTTTGAGGTCCCTTCCAACTCCTAATATTCTGTGATTCCATGATCCTGTCTGATTATGTTCCAACTTCCTTGTCAGAAAACTAGCAGCTGAAAGAAGAGAGATGTCAACAGCCTCAGATACTGGTCACCTGACAACCTTACACAAGATCTATTATTCTTAGTTCATATGGAGCAGCACCTTGGCAGAGACTCACTGACAACAGTTGTCTTTATACAGTATTTCATAAATACAGTACAAATGTCAAAGTCTAAGCTGAGCATATTTCGCAGGATATAGCATATTTACAGAGTGTATATGGTTGGTTAGTTCATGACTACAGGAACAATGTCTTTCTTAGTAACTGAACCCTTGGGTTTGTTCAATAGTTATTTTTTCTGCCGACTCTCCCATGGATTTGTCATTTTAAATGGGATTTGACTTTTTTTTATTGTTACTTTTTTTTTTTTCTGCTTTTGTAATCCAGGCCAGGTTCCCCATGGTGTCACAGGAGAGAACATTTTTCCCTAATATTCATTGATTACATGTGCAGAAGCCTTTAAGGTAAAACTTACAAATGTAAAACCTATCTCTTTAAAGCAGTAAGCTGAAAAGCAGTTATAAGAGCTCAAAGTGTTCAAAGTGAACAGCTGCACAATACCTGATTGAGAATCTTCATAGCCTGATTCAAAAGTTGCACCAAAGGAACTTGAGGAAACACTACTGGAAAGTGATTGCAGCTTATAACATGGATGCAGAATGACTTCTCCACTATTGCAGTCTTTACTGTCTACAAAACAACATTACAAGCATATTTTATTGCCTGTGCTCTAGCAGTTTATAAACTGAAATCTGGTTCTATATTTTTCTGTTTTGTGCTTCAGTTAATCAAGTAACAGTTTTCATTTGACTCATGACAAAAATCTCACTTGGTAATTAGGCCAGGGGCAAAGAAAAATTACTTACAATTAATGGAAAAAATATGCATGTTTTACAGGATGGTTCTTCACACTTGCTGAAAAGCACCTATCAGAACAGCACCAATTCAAGAATTCTAAGTCATGGACAAAATATTCCTATGGCATTTTTGATCATAGCTCTATAACGAGTCTCGGCATACCATCATCAAAGCGCCTTCAGACTCAGCATCACACTTTACAAACCAAACTCAAAAGTATGCTTTATCAACTCATGAGTTCTGTCAGGACATATGTTCTGACATTCTCATGTTGGCCTATGATAGGATTACAGCATCCTCTGCTAGCTTTCTCTGATGCCAATCTCCATAACAAGAGTAGAAGATGAACACAGTGTAGTTTCTAGAGAAGCAAACACACCAGTAAGGGTAAGAAGAACTCTGTATGACTATGATTGCTGGCACTGTTACTCATATGGTTTGGAGCAAAAAAAAAAAAACAAGAGCATGGTGTCAAATATGTGGAAGCAAAGCCTTTCTGAATAGCCTTCAAAGCCACTGCGCTGTAGAAATATGGTTTGGTCACATTAAACATCATTTCACACCAAAATAGTCTATACAAAGATACATAAAATAGACTCAAGAAATTTAGTGGTAATGACTGATAGAGTAAACAAATCAATATGCAATCAATACAGGACAGAAATATTTCATTATTAATAGGAGATCAGTTTTCATAAAACCATCACTCCATTTTTTGTTTAATCCTCAATGGAAACCCACAAAGCATCTTCAAAAGATAAGCTTGCAAAAATAATCTATTAGTCATCAAAAAAAGAAAACAAAAAGAACACATTTACAAGAGACAATGTTTTCCCCTTTCCTATCTTCATTTAATTGTGCTATGATCCATGAATGATATGGTATCTATCTTCTATATGGAAAAAAAAAATCATTACCTGTCTTCTCCTTGCTATTCCCTTATTGGACTTTACAAGTACCAACTCTCTTTTCTCTTAGATAGTCTGAGTAACACACTTGTTTTAAGTTAATGTGGTCAGAATTCAGTCTTCAAAGCTAAATCTACTTCAGACCTAAGGAATGTCTTGCTTACCTGAAAAATTTGTCTATTTCATCAAAATCGATCAGATCTAAATAACTATTAAAAAATATAACAAATTTACCTGATACTTGAACCTGCTTTGAACAGGAGGTTGGACTATATGACCATCAGAGATCCCTTCCAACTGGAATTATACAAAGATCCTAATCTCTTCCCATAAGCACAGCTACACAGAGAGACATAACAGATCACTGAGACAGGCAGAAAGGTGGGGGGCAGGAGGCAGGCAAAGATGAGGCCAGCACGGAGGGACACAGGTAGAGGTCTAGAAACAGAGAGAACAGCAGAGATAAACACTGCAGATAAAAATATTTCTAGTCTCTGATTCCAGGATTTTATTAAACTTAAAATACGGCTATGCTCTCCAGCCCTCAAGGACAGTAATTTCAAAAAGCCTCAAAAATATTACCAACAGGCAAATAATGATTGTGTTTTATCATCACATCCTGTGGCTTTCTTCTCTTTGGCTTTCTTCAAAACATATCGAACTGTTGTCCTAGGAATTACTGATGATCACTCTTTATCAATATAATTTATGTTATGTTAATTTAGTCTCAGTTTGGCCTGTTTTCTCTACTCCTACTTTAAAAATGAAACATTCTGTAAGATCTAGACTTGTCCAATATTTTTCAATAAACATTACCTAATAATTTATATAAGTTTTTCTCATTTTCAACAAGAAAACAGAAGCTATTAAACTGTTTTAAACATTTAATTGCAGTATCCCCTTATAATTAATGAGAAAAAACACTATCTTGATGATAACGTCCCTGTTATCACCCTGAAAACATTGATAATACTACTGGACATAATAGAATTTTAAGAGGTAGAAGATTGACTGCTTACTGCTTTTCAAGATCACTTGTTGATCAGAGCCGTGAAGTGCCAAATATGGGTATAAAGTAAGAAGGCAATTCTCTGCTGCTGCAGCAACTTGAATTGGAAACCTGTTCGAAACAAAATACAAAAATGGTAGTTTTCTATTTAGCCATGGTAATCAAGATATTTCAGAAGACGAACAATAGACAGCATGAAGGTGTCCATGTAACTTCTTTTCTCTTTTATTCTGGTTCAATAGGAATGTGCACAGATTGGACTGCACATCCTGAAATGGTGAAGGTCAGTACAGAACTTCCATTTCACCGTTTTACTATAAGTAGGAATGTATCATTAATATCAAAGTCCAAGAGTTAGCAGAGATTTTGCAAAATAAATGAACTCTGTCTCTCTGAAAAGAAAGAAACAATGAAAATTATAGCTGATATTTATGAGTATCCTAAAGGAGATTGCTAACTTGTAACTTTTGACAGGCGACATTTACTTGAAAAGTAACTCCTATTTTGACTAAATGTTTATTCTAGAAACCTTTACAGAAATCTCAAAATAAATATGAAGAAATAAATAGATTCAATTTAAAAACAATGAGATATTGACTGCAATTGCTAGAATATAATAGAAATTGATGTTCATGCCCCAGTGTTCTCTATAGTGTCTGTAGCGATCCACCTTTTAACCCTTTTTTCATACTTCACCTCAGTCTCTCAGGGTGCAGTCAGCAAGCAAATTATTGCCATCAATGGATCCCTGTTAACCATCTGTATTTATGTTCTTAGCTCATTGCAACTGAGAAGTAATTAAACTAAGCTTAGTCCTATCTTATTACACAGCTGATTTTTTACTCCACATTAACTTTTTAAGTAGCATGAACATTAATTGTTTTGACTAAGCTGTTAAAAATACAAATAAAAACATATTTTAATAATTCAAACAGTATGCTGATGTCCATCTTGCTTTAGTATTTTGAGAATTACGCATATTGAAAATATACCTTGCAGAGAATAAAATATTTTGTTTTCTTTAAATTACATATTGAAGTATAAAAATCCTATTTAACTTAATTCAAATTAATATTAAAAGATATCACAAGACCTTTCAGATTAATTTATATGACTTAGCTTCTATGGCATTGTTATAAAATAACATAATCAAGGAAAACAGAAATGTTTTAAAAGTATCAGAAAGTAGCTTTTCTTCCCTCTTTCATACTTCTCTCTCCAAATACAACATTGCTAGATATCACTTACAGGGGCACTTTACAAAATAGAGAATGGCTCCAACAAAATCCATAGCCACTTTTCTTATTTGTAAATATTCACATTTAGATTCTAATTCCACAGCTAACACTTAAATCAATAACCCAGCTCTGCAATGTTTTGGTTTATTCTCAGGATACATCAATCCTATTGGAACTTGTCCGGGAGTGGGACAAGGGACTTGGCTAGTTTCACCTTGTAGCATAGCATTTTTTTAAGCTAACTTTATGCTTTCTGCTTTTATCCAGCAAAAAAGCCAACAGCAGAACACTAGCAGGACAGATGACTGTAATAGGTATACCTACGTCTACCTATGTACACAAAATGTACATTTGTACATGGCCAAACCAGGTGTCAGAGCATAGTAATTTTTTTTTTTACCTTTACCAAGCCATTTAAAGTCACAAAGCATCAACAGCTACAACACAGAAAAGTTTGCCAGCTTCCAGGTCACAACTTTCCTGTGATAAATGACAATTCTCAATACTCTGCAGACATACCTTAGGTTAACTTCACTCAATAGGATTAGGGGCAGGGGTGGAAGGAAACTGTGTGAAGGTTAATGAAAGACATAACTCTGAAGTTATATGACAGCAACTCAGATGTTTCTATTATTGGACTCAGACTACTTTCTGATTCCTCAGTTTGAGGTGAACACTCCAGCCATCTCCATCTTCAATGCTGATCTGAGATTTGGGCATATGCCAAACCTTCATTCATGCTCTGATTTGCCCAGTAATGAAACACAGAAAAACGTGCTTGAGACCAACTGCAGTACCTCTTAACTAGTTACCCAAATTCAGTAAGTTACACTACTCAAAGCAAAGATACTACTGCACAATCTAGGATACAAAGAAAAGCAATTGCTACAGAACATCTGTGTACAAACAAATGCCTCAGACCTCTCAGCTGCTGCAAGAGAAGCTCCTCTGTTCCATGCTGCTAAGAACCCAACAAGGGCACGCCTCCTTGGCTGTTGGGGTATTATAGTAAGAGAAATTAATACATCCAGCCAATAGCAAACACAACAAAAATATTTTCTTAACTAAGAAATTCAGAAGCTTCAGAGTGTTCATAAGATGAGAAAAAATTGGACAATGAAGCACCTCTGCTGGCTGAGCATGAGCGGTGAAGCAACACCAGGAAACTGCAAGTGATAGTAGCAAGTAAGTCCTTGCTGCAGGGGACAGACGACCTCATTTGCCAACCTGACCCCTCATCTAGGGAGGTTTGCTGCTTGCTTGGGGCTTTGATCCAGACTGCTGTTAAAAGACTGATGCAGCTTGTCCGATCCTTTCCCTTGCTATTCTTCCACATGGGCACTAGTGAAGTTGATGGGGAGACCTGGAACATATCAGGCATGACTGCATAGCTTTGGGGGCAATGATCAAGGGAATGGGGCACAGGTTGTCTTCTTTTCAGTTATGCTGGTGAGGG